CAAGATGTCCAATCTGTACCCAATATCCTGCCAAGTATTTTGCGAAATTGCAGAAGTATAGGTTTCTTGGATACTTTGACGCAATTCATCCTGATTGGCAACCTTATTGTCGTAAACTATGTGCTTTATGAAGACCCATAAAAAATTTCATAATGTTATGTACGGAGAACGGGGGGATGGGTGGGGGGAGTGCAACTGATCGTGCTTTTCCGCCCAACCCACTGACCAACGAGCTAATGCTACAGTCTGGAATAATACATTAATAACATTTATCAGTGCTGCAAAAAAATCTAAATATTATTCTTGTCCGTGCAGCAAACCATTTGTTTTTATGTTAAACATTTTTCCCAGTATGATTTTTAAAAGGTATTTTCGACATTCTTGGACATCCTATATTAATATCATAATGAGAGTCTTACCGTGACTATACTTGCTACATTCATAGAATTAGTTAAAATTATGTTTTTCGAAAAATCATAATATGCAGCAGAGAAAAAAAAAACATTAAAACTAAATGTGTGAAACTATCATTAAGTACGGATCGTGATGAAACAAAATGGCGGCCATAAAAATCGTCCGTTTAAAACCACATTTAAAATGTCTGAATATTAACAATGACTATTTCACAGTACTGGCTGAGCAAAACTAAAGCTTATTTCACTTATGAAGCCGCCTAAATTACTATATACGGTTTTATGGTGTGAATCAAAAATTCACTATTTCAACGAATTTTCATCTAAGTAAGTAAGTGACTTTTCCTGACAAGCGTACAGAAAAAATGACGAACCTTATCGCTCTAGTTCTTTCACAAAACTCTTCCATCTACAGTCTCAATGATTCCTTTCTTGTACCGATGCACTACTTTGGGCATATAATTAGATTTGAGGATAAGTCGGTAAAGGTCCTGATGAGTAATAAAATCGAATTGGATATACACGCTCCCCATGCTTGGTATTGCTGACGCACAAAAATATAGCTCATAAAAAGGAAACAAACAAATACAATAAAAATGTATTTAAATGTAATAAAGACAAGTATATACATAACATAGCTAGCTATAGTAATACAAAAAATTTTAATGCTACGAAAAGTATTGAAACAAGAAGGTCAAAACTACAAAAACTGAGTTACTTAAAATCTAAAAAAAAATTATCCCTACTTTGGTTCAGACTAACATAATTACAGTAATTTGCCAAAGAAGGGATAACTTTTTATAAATTTGAATAACTCAGATTTTGTAGTTTTTACTTTCTTATTCCAATACTTTTGTAGCATTAAAACTTTCTATATTACTGTAGCTAGTTACGTAGATATCAATCCCTACTTGTCTTTATAAAATCTAAAAACATTTTTATTGCACTTGTTATTATAACTTTTAATAATAAAAATTTAAAGGATTTCAACAAAAATATTTTATAGATGCATCTCGGGTTTAACATTTGTTCACCTTTTTTTTTTGCTGTATATTTGAATTCGACATTCTTTGAGAGAGAAGCTTTAATAAATTTTAGATGTTTATTCATAACGAGCAAGCGTAACAGTTTAATCTAGACAGAATCGCTGCTTCATATAGTCGTAGATAGCTGTTCTATCAAACAGCCCTCAGTGGCACAGCGGTATGTCTGCGGACTTACAACGCTAGAATCGGGGGTTTCGATACCCGTGGTAGCCAGAGCACAGATAGCCCTTTGTGTAGCTTTGTGCTTAACTACAAACAGACGCAATGAATAATTTTTCAGAAATAATATGGTATAATTTATTATTCATATCGTATATTTCGACGTTACTCTACAAACAATTTTATTAAATAATTTCAATCCATTAAATTGGAGTTTCTTAACATAATTTTGAAATTTTGCATAATGTATATGTTTATATTTATATACACACATACATATATATATATATATAACTTAGTATCGGTAATGTCCCTTATAAGTTAAATTATTATGTCGTTCCTACTTCGCTTAATTTATTTCTACTAGAAATTCGCCTTGAAGTGTTGAGCGTATGGGAAGGCAGCAAGGAAAATCCACTCTTTGTCGCTTGTTTCTTCTCTAGCTTCAAACTGAAGCATAGTTACACAACTTAATATCCTGATTTACAGCTATTATACGTAGCTTGTGTTTTTATCTCATTAATTCATTCTCTTACTAGCTGGAGTATCCGTCCCCTGGATGGAAGTTATGTAAATTTATGATTAATGAAAGGTTATCTTAGGACATGAAAATTTGCTTCCTTCATATGTAACCAGATCAATCAGCGCCATGAAATGAAATAGTTAGAAAACTCCTCCCCTCTTCGTAACAAGCTTAGTACTGTTATTTAAAACAGCTTCAATCCAACTGGAGTTGTTTTAAAGTGGACAGGTTAAAAGACTGTGAAGTGATTATAAAAAGGCAAAAACGCCCATAAAAACTGCAAAACACAAAATGTGATATAGCAAATTTGCATGTATCTCCGCATGGACCAAATAGACCTTCATGCCAAATTTGATGAAAATCAATCAACAGGTAAAAAAACGCCCATTAAAAACGGCCAAATGCAAAACTGAAAATTTGTATGTACCCCCGCATGGACCTAATGAGCCTCCATACCAATTCTGGTGAAAATCCATCCACGCCCTATGAAGTAGTTACATGGACAGACAACAGACAGTACTATTATATTTATATATATTACTCACTTTGTACATGAACAAATACACACACACATCATTGTTTTTATATTACAAAACAAGATACAATGGAAGCACAATTAAATTTAAATGTGAATGTTTTCACCGTTAAGCATGTCATAATAAGCAATATAAAAGCAAAATTATGCAGAGTATTTGCATTGTTAAGCATATCATGATAAGCATTACAAAAAGTAAAATTAGGTACAACATTTGGATCGTTAAGCGTATCACGATAAACAGTTAATAAAGTAAAATAATTCAGAACATTTGAATTGTATAATATTATAAATACACTATACAAAATAGAAAACTCAGAAACAATCTCCCAATAGTGAACCTTTGTTTGCTCAAAAGTTTACTGTTGTAGCATTGTTGTTAAAAAGTAATAACGCAATTACATAGCAAAGAAGAAACTTTATACAAAGTTTCTCGAAAATTGATAAAAACATTAATTAAAACTTCTGAGTAAAATATAAGACATATATGAAAAACAGTTTATGTATAAAATTTCTTGATTTAGGAATCACTAATGAACAAAATATATGATAAAGAAGTGTGTTTATTCACCACAATAGGCACATATATGTCCCTCTTAAGAGCACTAACATGGAAGTTTGGAATTTTGTACCACTGCTAAGAAATGGTTTTGTTCAAATTCCCGAAAGTCTATCAACACAGTTCTGTATAAAGTTCATGAGGTCGATAGTTGCTGCTTACATACGTCAGAGATAGAGAGAAAGATAGTAAACACGTCATGTAGTTATTTATCCACAATAGAATTATAAGATTTTTTTGCTCTTGTAAACTCAGATTAAAGCAGGTAGAAGTGATTTGGAGCAAATTTCATTGGTTTAAAAATGTCGTAAAAACTTTGCGGTCTTTTATATTGTTACCTACATATTTTTGAGAAAGGTTCTATCATATCTTTCTCTATATATGTGTACATCATATGTAATAAAAAACACTGAATTATATTAGTCAAATATCAAAAAAGAAAGAGACTACAATAAATCCAAACCTTCAACGTATGTTCTAGTACCAATAGGACAAAGTTACACAATGGGCCATCTGTGCTCTGCCCACCACGGGTATCGAAACCCGGTTTGTAGCATTGTAAGTCCGCAGACATGCCGCTGTGCCACTGGGGGGCATGCGAAGTGAAAGCTATCACTAAGACTGTTATCTTCGCTCATTTTGTGTTTATCAGGTGAGAAGCATTTAATATTTTAATACGTATCTTTGATTCAAAAGAACTTATGAAATGTGTATTAAATTATTCATTGTTCTAGTTTACTTAACAACAGTTTATTATTCACGATTTTAATATTCTAGTTTACTTTTTTTATCTTATTGTTTTACTTGCTTGATGCTGGTTTGTTGTAACTTACTTATGCTATTTTGCTTTACTTGACTTCTTCTTCTTTATTGTTGTAGTTTATATAATCTCGGTTTATTGTTCTAATTTACTTAACATTTTAAAGTAAGAACTAGTTTAAATGCTATTTCAAATTTTATGGTTGCTCCTCATCGTGTATCATACCATTATTACAATTCTCTTTTTAAGTTGTACTGTATCCACCTCACTTGAAGGACTATCTAAAAAACAACATGCCAACTTGAAACATAATAATAGATAATAAAATAATCAATATGAAACTGCATTAATGGCTTATTAAAAACTATCCCTGGCAGATCAGCGTACGCTTAAATGCTTGAAATGCAAAAATTCAGTGGTTCGGTCCCTGTGGTGAGATCGGCACAATTGTCTCATTGTGTAATTTTGTGCTTAATAAAAAAACAACAATATTAGGTAAAAATTAAAGACAACACTGCAGAAATAGTATCCAGAGTTTAATCTAATTATCCTATACAAACTGGGACAGTGAATATTTCTTAGAATTTCATCCGTTACACGTTTCTCTTACTTTTCCATGACTTTGATTTTTTGCTAAAAATTATTATAGATATAATTTCAAAACGTAAACCTCGAAATTACTGAAATAGAGCGACTTTTCGAATAGCACATGTTTCAAATGGAAGGTAATATTGAATAAGATACATACATTTGACATTCATTGTAGTCTATACTCAGAGCTGAGACTTCGAGTTTTAATATAATCATTTCAACTACTGCGTAAGGAATAAACTGTGATGATGAAACATTTGAATTCGGTTTTCATCGAACTAATCATTTTTAACTTAATGTTTTAAGCTAGTTTTATTTTCTGCTATATTCGCAACTGATATCTTAATTTGTTTCATTGCAAAAGAGTTAATGAGCTGTAAGTCGAAAATGATATTTTGTACTGCAGTTTCTTACCTCATCTAGAGAGTAAACAAAGAGTAACGTGATAAGGATACTTTTGAAACGTCTCCTCATTCTTCTTTACAAGCTACTGGACGTTCTGTTTTTGTTTCGTTATCTGGAAAGGTAGAAATTAGAAGATAATAATAATTTTACTGATGAAGAGTTGGGTCTCAAGCTTCTCGAGGGTATCGAGCTTCTGTGGCTTCAGTCTGCAGGTGAGTTCTCACGAAGAATCGGTACTGCTCGGATTCCGGTCAGAGAAGTTTGGATGAACACTACAGAAGTTCTTAGTGCACACATACACAGCTATATATATATATATATATATATATGCATACATCGCTCGTGAAGAAAATCGATTCCGGCATTCGGCAACGTGATTGGTCAGCGGAGTTTGACGTACATCAAACAAAAGCTATCCAATTATTTTCAGATTTTTCTTTTTTCAGGAAAAGTTTTTCAGACTCATAGGGAAACTTCTAGTTTATGTGATATGTGTGATGCACAATATTGTAAGAATACTTTATGTACTCCCAGTAAGTTACATGTTTAATAAAGTGCAAATGAAACCTAGATCGAAATTCCTTTATTCTTATATATATATTTCAACTACGGTATTTTCAATATCGCAGAAATTCTTAATCGTCAAGTGTAACGAATAGTTTAGCACATACGAACAGTATCAAACTTGAGACTTTATTAAACTTAATACAAAGTGCTTTACTGGTAAAAAGGAAAAAAAACAATATCGTGGTTTTTATATGACGATAGAAGACTAATTTTAATCTGAATACATGTGAAATATTAGAAAATAACCAACTGCTATACTGGCGCCCCCAGAAATATTTTCAAGGGTGGCAAAACATATATTTAGGGGATCAGCTTTTACAGTATAAGTCAACAGACTAAAAGAATGTTATGTGTGCTTTGTTTTGTTTGAAGTTAAACACAAAGCTACACAATAGGCTATCTGTTCTCTGCCCACCACAGGTATCGAAACCAGGGTTCTATCGTTATACGTCTGCAGACATACTGCTGTGCCACTAGGGGGCGATATGTGTGCTTAAACGCAAACACAAAGTTATAGTTTCAATAAAAAGTGCTAAAAATATTTAATTTAACTTCGATGTTAAGTTTTCATCATAATACGTGCAATATTTTGCGAAATTTAAGTTAGACAAATGCCCCCTCTCGCCCCTTCCTGGGGGCGCCATTGAAAAGCTTTATATTTTGAATTTTTTAGTAAACTATACGTCACTCAGGACTATATTTCCACCTAAACACAGTTATTCCTGAGCGTGGACCAAGCGCGGCCTAATAGTTAGAGTGTCAGACTGTGGATCTGAAGTTCACTTCCCATTACTCCCTAAAACAAAATCATACTCAGTATCTGGAGGCCATAGGTGTCGCATAAGTGGGAGAACAAGTTCCATTATTTGGTCACACAGGGGTAGTCCATGAGTTTGCGATGGGTGTTATTGAAAATTTGCTTTCCATCTAAGCTTTTACTTTAATTAAAATGAAGGTTAGCTATGCGCAGATAGCCCCTATTTAGCTTTACGCGAAACTCGCGAAGAACAAATTGAAAATGGTCTTAAAATGCTAATCTCCTGAAAAAAGTTCAAACTATGTTATAATTACAACATGTCACAGTAAAACGTGTTCTGTTCGTCGCTGTGGTTGAATTTTATTTAACTTGTTCATACTACCGTATTTTCTTGAATATATTATGTTACAAAGTTTAGGTACCTCTTTTTTGGAAACTTTATGTTCCGTTTTTATTACTTAGAAGTAATATTCATTGTATTTGTCTTTGCTCAACGTTACTTTTGATATACCTACACCCCAGTGGCTCAGCAGTAAGTATTACGGTTTATAGCGCTTAAATTGGGTTTTGATACCCACAGTGGCCAGACCGCTGAGAACCTATTGTACAGCTTTGTTCGAAAACTAAACCAATAGCTTTTGATATATCTGAAATAGCTAAAAGCATATTGTATGATTTTAGCACCATGTTATTACCAGAACCATTGGGTGTTTTAATGAAACTAGAAAGTTACAAGTAGACGTAATCATATCAAACATGTCTTTCACACAGACACAAAGTTCAACCCCTGTTCTAAGATTCGACAATTTTGGTTTTCCTTTGTTTTATATTCCTCACTACCTGCATAAGCGTTCAAGCTTCTCGTCTCCAATCCATTTTCCAATGTCATCGAGCCAAGTGCATCTCCTCCTACCTCTTGCTCCTCTATGGTCAAGTTACTATACATTACTGGTTTCGGGTATACGTCCTTCGTAGGGTTTCATTTCAAAGCTATAGCTGTAGGAAAGCTTGACGAAGAAGGGTTAGCGATTATGTATATTTATAACTTTTTCGCGTTATTCTCTATAGCATTTATAATAACGCATGGTTTGAGTAGATATGTCATTTGTTTTTTTTCAGTTTGTCATATTGATTTTCTTTGATATGCCTAGTAACTAATGTATTTGTTTCAGGCCAACTAGCTTTTTCTTAAAAAGCTAAAAATGATATAAAGTAAGTTCGAATAATCTATGGCAAGCATTGGTTTTTTTATTGTAATTCCACACATTTTATTATACCGAGAAGGCAACAAGCTTCTGAATACGCCTCATGATGTAAATAGGTTAATGCAAAGCCATTTTTTTTTTATAGTCAAATATTTTACAGTAAGCGGAAAGCCCGGCATGGCCAAGTGGTTAGGGTACTCGACTCGCAATCTGCGGGTCGCTGGTTCGAATCCCCGTCCCACCAAACATGCTCGCCCTTTCAGCTGTGGGGGCGGTATAATGTGACAGTCAATCCCACTATTCGTTGGTAAAAGAGTAGCCCAAGAGTTGGCGGTGGGTGGTGATGACTAGCTGCCTTCCCTCTAGTCTTACACTGCTAGATTAGGGACGGCTAGCACAGATAGCCCTCGTGTAGCTTTGAGCGAAATTCAAAACAAACAAGTAAGCGGAAAAAGAAGCAAACTAGGATTAGAACCAAAACCATTTCTCTCTGAAAAAAAAAATATATTTAATAAACCTAAACTGAAACAAAATGAAACTACTAATTAAATGTTTATAGGTTCTGATGCCATTTATTTAACGTTTAATACAACATTTCAATGAAAAATTAATGCGATAAATCAACCCCTTAGCTCTTATTGATCAGAATTTTAATATTTCTCTTTATTAATCAACGTGTTTATGTTAAAGTACCAAAAACAAGCAATCTAATATATTATACCATTATTAGTCGCCATTTTTAACAAATGTTATATTTTTTTTCGGACTTTTCGTTCGAGTTCTTCGCCATCTTTAGTCTTAACGATACTTCTGCTACTGTTAGTTTATTCTATCATTTTCATGTAGAAAACTGTGAGCAAAGTGATTATGAACCAACCTGAAGATTCAAAATTTCACATTCCACAACATCCACTCCCAAAGGAAATTTCTTCATTTTCAGAAGATGAAACAATTTGTGCATATTGTGGTATTAGCTACCTTTTGCACCATAAAGTTAAGGTACTATGAACGACGTAAACGTAACAAATGCTAATATTACTATATCTAACTTAATTTCTTTGCTACACTTACTACTACTACTACTGGTACTAGGCCTAATAACTATGAATCAAACTTATTATGTTAGGTTTTAACGTTAGATTATGGGCATTCATCTAATGTATTTCATTACAAAGTTCATGTAATTAGTGTAACGTCATAAGATTATTGGAATAAGCATGTAGCCAGTGTTTAACTTAAAATTAACTGTATATAATAAGTTCTCCAAATGATAAACTGTGCCTAACGTATTTGCTAGTACTATATATATATATAGAGAGAGAGTAGTTTTCCTTGAATTTTGAGAACCGGCTTGGAACCTTGGCGGTACGGGAGACTGCTCCCCTTATTAAGAATTCAAAATTTACAGATTATTTTGGTGTGTTCTAGTACTTAATAATTAAATACCGGGAATATATATATATATATATAGAAAACGTCTGGACCACCGATTTAAAAGGTGCGTAAAAACAAACAAACATTTTGTATATTTGACAGTTTATGGATATTAATATTATCATTTAGGCCTAGGCCTAATACAATGCTCTAAAAGTAAAAAAGTCAGATCTATCGAACGTCATACAGTTTTTTTAAAAATGAATAATCTCAATATCATCAAACCATATGTCATATATTTTATTTGACTTTTGTAGAGTTGATTCAGTTATAATGGTATAAACATGAATTATTCAGTTTTTTTCTCAAAATGGTTGACAAGGGAAGATATAGATACCACGTTTCAGAATGCAGAGGTATTGACCACGTTTTTAATTTATGCTGTAAATTGTAATATAATAATTTTTAAATAAAACAATACAAACTGTTTTTCCTTTCGAAATAAGTTGAGGCAAATGCTAATAATGTTATAAAAATTTGTTACTCCCTTTTACAAATGTTGGAACTGTTTCGTCATACTAGAATTTCAAATAGTCTGAAATTTAGTTAACTGAGAAATTTAAATTTAGTTGTTTAATTGTACTTTGGATTTAGCAGTTAAGTAAAATCCGATATATAGTAATTTTATGTTATATATATATATCCAACAATATTAATACACACAGTTTTCTTTTTTAACACAAATACGTTTTAATATACACACAACAATACAATTTACAATAACAGTTATTACAAACAATGATTTATAAACAAAAGTTTTACAAACTTACAAGCAATATAAAGTCTTCTTTTTGGTCTGGAACTTCCTTGATATCTTATTGAGGATTCACGATGAGCGAGTTAATTACGAATTGATGTAGGTACGATTCGCTTAACGGAGAGCTAGCTAGCTTTGTCCGTCGTTATTCACCAGTCACACACGCCGAGTTTTCCACAATGAGGTTATATAATGTTTTCGTACAAATACTAATGTCTGATAAGAATCTGCTGAAGTTCAATGATTTGTAATGTTCGAACTTTGTAAATGTTCCTGGTCAAATATCTTAAGTTTTCCGATTAATAACCGTTATAATAATCACAGTTATAGCTTTTGGAGTTTATAACACAGAGACTATAGCAAACTAATAATAGATACTCTCTTTTGGCGTGGCGCGTTGGTTATGTTTATAGACGTTCTCGAAATTTCAGTTTTACGTAACAATACTGAGCTACATTTAAGGGTTTACGTACATACATATATTGTTGATTCTTACTCTCGAGAATCTTCTACAACTTTGGAGAATAGGCGGGAGTTTCGCAACACATATCTAACACTATAAGATATGCATCTTTTTAAATGTAAACTTAATC